TTTTGAAATCCAAATTGTATTTCCTAAACTGTGTTTCCAAAAAAAAAAAAACCTCGAATTCCTCTAACCAGGGAAAAGAAACTTAGGAAAAGGAAAAAAAAAAAAAAAACCGAACTTTGTCAAAACGAAAAATTAAATCCATTGGCGAAGACAGAGAAGAAAATTGGCTTTTCCTTGGAAAAAGGGACAGGCATCCAACCTGTAAGGGTTAGCAGAATAGCATGTCAACATATAATTTATTTTATTAACAATGCGGTTAGCAGTACTGCTTAGATGGCAAGATAAGCTCTGGGTTAATGCTAATCAGTCGTGTATGCAGAATGGACCTGTTCTTTTGTATTGCTACATTTTGCGTTCTTGTTTGAATGTGTTTCGGAGATTTCTCTAAAAAAAAAAAAAATTTATGCGATCTCCTGTTTTGCAGAATGCAATTTAGTTGTGAACAACACTCTGAAAAGTCCTGGATATCCAAACAACTACCCAAGTAACATGGACTGTACCGAAAAAAAAAAAAATCCAAACGAAATGACGATGAACATTACATTCCTTTATTTTGACGTAAAAAAAAAAAAACCAACTTGCAGGTGAGCATAAATATGCAAATAAACAAAGACCACTAAAAAAAAAAAAACTGCATTATTCTCTCAGTTTGCAAAGTATGAAATATAGAATATTCAAAAAAAAAAAAAGCTAATGAAATACTCTTGTTAAAGTTTTGATTACCTAAAGATCAAAAAAAAAAAAAAACTTGATGTTGGTACCTACTGTGGTCAGAAGACTGGAACTTCAGCTCTTGTAACTGGAGAATACGTTGAAATAGTGTTTCACTCAGATGCGAATATACAAAAGAAAAAAAAAAAAAAACAGTTCGCTCTCTTGTCAAATGGTAAGTACAGCCATAACGTGCAAAAAAAAAAAAAAGATGATCCTATTTTGATCTTAGGTACTGAGGTAGTCATGTTATGAAAAAAAAAAAAAATTTAATTACATTTTTTCCTCGGATTCATACCCAAAGTTGTGAATGAAAAAAAAAAAAATTTTTTTTTTTTTTTTTTTTTTTTGTCGAGTTATGGAATGAGCTAAAAAAAAAAAAAAAAAAATCGATCTACAATTTACGTATTGTATGGACTTTAGGTTCAGAAAAAAAAAAAAACTTCATAGAATATCAACTGGAAGAGGGAGTGGTTGAGGGATTTTGGAGGAGATTCCACGGTTTTCAGGGGGACGGAGTGGGGATCAGTAGTCGCCGACGGATTATAATGGGATAACTATAGAAAACTGACTCTGAATGAATGGAAGATCATATGAAAATTAAAAAAAAAAAAAACTCCGGTTCCTTCGTAAGAGGTGTCAATTCAAACTGAAGCTTTCATTACTGCGTTGCAGTTCCACCGAGAATAACTTCACTCGATCCTGCAGAACCCATGATTCCAGGCGACCAAGTCCGGTGTTCCATTTTCGGATCTCTACCGATTTATACATCGATTTAAAAAAAAAAAAAGCTTACAGTGCTTGTGAAAACTATGGGCCAAGCCAGGGCCAAGTTAAAAAAAAAAAAAAACTACAGCTGTGTGGCAACGAGCAAGTATGGAACTGACAGAAAAAAAAAAAAAAAAATAGGTGAGGAGGTTGATGTCAATTTCAAGCATATCAACAGTCATTGTACATCACAAATAAATTAATAAAATTATCTTCTAACATGTGTATCATGACAAAACATGAAACGAATCTTAGCAGGTGAACTGCGGCCTAAAAGGATATAGGTTTCGTTGGAGTTCAAAAAAAAAAAAATCAGATACTAGTGGTGGGCCGCTACCAACTGAGCAACGAAGCCACAAAAAAAAAAAAAACAAAGGAAATTAGCATGTTCAGACAAGAAATTATATTTAGATTTCCTGAATATCATTTTTGAAGAGGTTGAAAAATAAAATTGTCATCATCAGGGTATTTCCAAAAAAAAAAAAATTTGTGGGTTGGATATAGAGTAAACCAACATGAATGTTAATAAATAAAAAAAAAAAAATCAAAGGATGCGGTTCATTGATAAACGAAACGTTAACAAGTGCTGAAAAAAAAAAAAACTACCCAAGTGGTATACATTGTGGGGCTTCTCTTGCTATTCCACGAAAAAAAAAAAAACAAATCTACTTCAGTGATTTTGATCTGGGGGATAGTAACGATTGCAAGTAGGTATTGTGTCAACTACGGAATGCTCCCGTTGGGAAATGCCAAATGTACAACAAAAAAAAAAAAAATGAATCATGACATTATCAGCTGACGATAAGGGCAAACGAGGCCGAAAAAAAAAAAAAATTGAATAAAAGAGAGCACGTTTAGTGCTACATCGTATGAGACTAAATGTTAAACCACAAGCCAACTCTCCCCAGCACTTATTATCACCAAGAACTCCCCATAAAAAAAAAAAAAAAGATCTAGGGGAGGGGCCCACGGACCCCGACTTCCCTCCAACCCCTCCACCCTTGTTTTGGGTAATAAAAATAGACGCAAAAGGAAGAAAAGCCAGCAGGTGTAAAAAAAAAAAAAAACCACGCTCTACCCTTAGTTCAAGGTCTGGAGCCGCCACTGGTATAAAAAAAAAAAAATCCATCCCCCCATTGGAGGGTTATATTAGTTAGACTGTAATGGGAAAAAAAAAAAAAAAAGAGAGAAGTTTGTTACTTTCTGAGATTTGTAGGTACAGCAAAGCCGATAACTACGGGTGCTTTAATCGTAACTATAAAAATTGTCTTTTTCATCTTTTACTAAAAAAAAAAAAAATATTTTGAAGAGGATAGAACTAAAGAAATGTTGACATTCTCTTGAAAAAAAAAAAAATTGAAGATTTTTAATGAGAAGAACCAGAAATTCGGTGTGTATTGTAAAAAAAAAAAAAGAAAGAAAATAAATGTAACTGGAAGTTACGTTTTCATCACGTTTCAAAAAAAAAAAAAATCTCAAAGCAGAGGGTTTAAGTTGCATTTCAAAGCGAGTATTGCAGGTAAGTTAAAGGATGCTATAGTTTTGTTTCTCGATCGCTAACTAAGCGTAGCGCTCTCAAAAGTCAAATTTCATTTCCGACAATACTTTTCTTTCATCTCTAGAGCTTTACGCATGCAAATGACTTGACTAGAAGACAAAAAAAAAACAAAAGCAAAAACAAAAAGCAATCAAAAAATGTTAAGGAAAAAAAAAAAAATGCTGACGCGGTCGAGACACACACTGATAAAATTTATTTCATGAAAAAAAAAAAAAAACCATTTAAAATGTTAGCTTTGTTGTTTTGGTTTTAAATGTTTAACAAAAAAAAAAAAACTTCTAAGTCAAAGCATTAGAAATCATCCTACATTTTTGATAAATAAAAAAAAAAAAAACGAGTAATTACGACAAACTTTGGGTTTCAGTATTGCAATCATATTGACTTCACAATTTCTTTCTGTGATTTTCTCTTTAAAATTGAGATTATGAACTTATTTACATTCAAAAGTCGAAGAAAGCAGAAACTTGATGCTTATCTTAAGATTTCTTGCTCTAAAAAAAAAAAAAATGATACCACAAGAGAATTAATTTGATAATCCCAGGTACAGATGATGATCATCTCTCTCATTTCTTCAACAGAATGTGGCTCTGTAGTACATAACACTCTGGTGAAAAAAAAAAAAACAAACGATTACCCAAGCAACATGAACTGTACTTATTTTCTTCATATACCACAAAACAAGATATTGCACATTACTTTTATTTATCTTGACTTGGAAACGCTGTACTCTACTTCATCATGTTTGTAAGTGAGGCTTTTAATTTCAAGCAAATGTCGTTATCTCGGCAGTAATCATTATTACTTGACTATATGAAAATTGCATTAAAATTTCATTTTCCTACAAAAAAAAAAAAAAAGCAAGGATGCACTTGTTCGGGGTGTCTTCAGTGTTTTCTGATTAAAAAAAAAAAAAGTCACAAGGAAATGAGCCAGCTCTCTCTGCCTTATCCGAAGATAAAAAAAAAAAAAAAACAAACCATCCCTCACCACCCTGATGTGAGCGATGACGATGACTACCACCTTTTTGGAAGTTAGCTACTTACGCGTGATAAAAAAATATGTATTTTGTTGAAAAAAAAAAAAAAAAGACCCAGAGAAAAATCACTTCAAAGCCCTTACGCCAACTTGATGGAAAAAAAAAAAAACTGGAAGAGTTTTCCACACTTTTCCGTTTTTATCGTTTCTTAAGAAAAAAAAAAAAAACGATTGCTAATGACATAGGAATGGTGGCTGGAAAGTTTTGTGGTCAAAAAAAAAAAAAAAAGATCATAATTGCTGGAGAGTATGTGCAACTAGTATTCCATTCAAAAAAAAAAAAACAACGACAAGGATTTCGTTTGCACTTCTCTTTTGTTTCATTAGGTAAGTTTACTCATAATTACGTAAATACATCTAAAAGAAATAAACAAAGGCGACTAGTTAAAATGCATTGGGAGGTCATGTAGAAATTATGGATAATGCCCAAAGGTATCGATGCGGAAAAAAAAAAAAAAAAGATTTACAGAATGTTCAAAGATGTACAGTCTGACCGCTTCAGGTAAATACATGGAGGAGAAGGAATCATGCAATCCAAGAGAAGCCCTTTTCCAGTTGGTAAAAAAAAAAAAAAAGGCAAATTTTAAACTCGTTAAATCGGGAAGGTGCTGGTGTTGAGAAAAAAAAAAAAAGGTTTTGTAGAGCACAATTTTTAATAGAAGACCACGAACAAGTAGAGAAATGATGATACGGGTAAAATGATAAAACGAACTAATTCATAATTTGACCTGTAGAAAAAAAAAAAAAAAAAAAAGAATCATCGTAAGTTAGTTACTAGTGACACGATCTAATCAAAAAAAAAAAAAAAGTTCTGTTTCATCTTTTTTCGGTGTTACAGGGTGTGGTGTGATAAAAAAAAAAAAACTGACCAGTCCTGGATATCCTGACCACTACCCAAACAGTACAGACAAAAAAAAAAAAATTCCTATTCCACAAAACACGCAGATGAAAATTTATTTTGCTGAGTTTGACGTTGAGGAGAGCCAGGATTGCGAGTAAATATTGATTACATTTCTTGCATCAGAATGAAAGTAATTCAGCTAAACGGCTGCTCAAAGTCTCTATCTCTGACTTTGTTATATATGACTAAATATACACTCACAGAAGATAACTATTCCTCTAAGGAATAGAGGGGGTAAGTTGCTAAAGAAACTGTGATGCTGGTCAATGGAAGGTATTACTAGATGGGTTAATATGTTAAAAAAAAAAAAATGATAATGCAAGTTGGCCACCGTATAGAGTTCTAAAGAAATTCTAACGCTGAATTTTCGAACATTGGCCGTCCGTCTGAGCGAATGACGAAGGGCTAACGTTCAAAAAAAAAAAAATAGAAACTCTTTACCTTATTTGTCTGAGGACCTAAGTCGTGACCGAAAAAAAAAAAAACTGAAGAGTGGTGTTGGCTTAGACAGCATCTACAATACAGCATGTAAAAAAAAAAAAATAGATCCCATGTTGCCTTGCGCCAACTAGTAATAGATAATGATAAAAAAAAAAAAAAAAATAAAGTCTTTATTCCATCATAAGATAAAACTACATATCTTATGAAAAAAAAAAAAAGGAAAAACTACAACAGAAGTCTACATACATATTATGAATTAAAAAAAAAAAAAAAAAAATAAATGGAGCTTAAATATCAACCTATTTACAAAGGTGTTCATAAAAAAAAAAAAAAAAATTTTCGGGCGTACGCAGCTTTTTTTCCTAAGATTGTGTACATAAAAAAAAAAAAAAAGAATGATGTCTTTCAGGGGGTGGCAATCCGTTGATTTTAGTTTCAAAAAAAAAAAAAGGTCTTGTTGGTTTAAAAGGTTCTTGATAAAAACTGGAAATGAAAAAAAAAAAAAAAAGTGACATCGGTCTAAAAAAATTTTGTACAACCTTAAAATCGGACTAAAAAAAAAAAAAGACTGAAAGTGCATAGCTAAAATTAGGCAAAACAATGGATATAAAAAAAAAAAAAAAATCTGCCTGAGAGTAATGTTCCTTTCTCAATGTTCGTAGGACGTGCAAAAAAAAAAAAACTTCGACAAGCTTAGTTCTTACATGCTCATCAAATTTTCCGTCACAAAAAAAAAAAAATCCTAGTAACTAGATCACAGGTGACTTCGAAATGGACTAAGGACAAAAAAAAAAAAAAGAATGTATCGTTGATATTTTAACTAAATTTTGACGTCTATTTCTTAAAAAAAAAAAAATAATGGCTATGAAAACTCATATATGTTAACTGCGGTTAAGAAGCGAAAAAAAAAAAAAAGGCCTGTACGGGATCTGAAGCCAAGACCTCTGCGATACTGTTGCAAAAAAAAAAAAACTGAGTTAACGCGTCAGCTGGGAGCTGGTTATTATGTTAGTTTGGAATAAACCCGTGAAGTGATGAGTCAATGGCATATATGATTTTTTTCAGGCCTTATTTCAAAAAAAAAAAAAATACTGTTCATTACTGCGAAAATGGATTGCATGCTGCCGCGCGCTAAAAAAAAAAAAAATTACAGATGATGTAAAAATGTGGTATGAATGTGGTAACGTACTGATTAGACCCATAGCAATATAGAATCTATTTGTTTTATATGATAAAAAACAAAACTGTCAAAAAAAAAAAAATCATCAATACCTCTGTCCTCCATTAAATCACTGTTAAAAAAAAAAAACAAATAAAAACACTTGAATAATGCAGCTCATCATTTGATTTTTCTCAGTTGGGACTTTTTGAAGATCACCAACGAAAAGAATCACCACTTTGGTTTATACTGTGGATTGAAGACTGGGGAGGAGGTTCTCGTAACTGGAAGCTATGCCTTCATGGTTTTTCACTCCGACCGTTCTCAACAAAAACGAGGATTCAAAATGTACTTCACTGTTGTTCCATTCGGTAATATCCAAAAAAAAAAAAAGTAATTAAACTCTAACTTTTATTTCAGGAAAAATTCTCATTGTTAAAAAAAAAAAAAAGAGAGCCAGGCTTCGAAATTTTACAGGCCTTTCATCAAAGCTAAGAAAAAAAAAAAAAATTTGCTGCACAAGTTCAGACAACTTTGGAGCAAATGGAAGCTATAAAAAAAAAAAAAACTCAGACGGTGATATTCAAAGACGAAGACTATTAATTAACTTTTAAAAAAAAAAAAATATGAATAAGTAATCAATCCTCAAGAAGATGTAAATGTCAGTTAGAAAAAAAAAAAAAATGTTTCGAGCTATTTAAAGATCATTCTTGAGCATCATAAATTAGAAAAAAAAAAAAATGCTATTTTAGTCTTAATATCAGTGAATAAAAACAACAACAAACAAAAAAAAAAAAAAGAAATGAAACGAAGAGACTGCACAGGTCTCCTATTTTTGGAACGTAAAAAAAAAAAAACGTATTTATGTAAGTAGAGGCGTATTCCTTCCATTTTTTCCCTAATTTCATAAGGCAAACTTGGTAAAAATGTATTAGGTAGGTGAATACCCTGATGATACGTCTCACTGATCAATTTTTCAACCTTTTCTTAGAGACTACGATAGCTGGAGTAGCAGAATAAAAAAAAAAAAACATAGGTCATCAGCCTACAACAATGTTAACAATAACAGTTGATCCAAAAAAAAAAAAAGAGACTTCCTTAGGTTCCATCACATACATAAGTGTTGGTGTCGCCAAAAAAAAAAAAATTTTGCTTTGTTTTGCTCTCAGCTGCTGGTGTTACAAAATCAAGCACCGAAAGATAAAAAAGAGGTTCGTAACTACCCATGGTAAGGAAAGGTTGCGATAATTAAAAAAAAAAAAATACAATACTAAAAGAGAATTTCTCGCTTGTGTCACGAAGATGTCAAAAAAAAAAAAAATACTGTTAATCTCTCTAAGGTAATGAGCAACTGATCACCAGTCACAAAAAAAAAAAAATTATTTGGATATATCAACAAAGTTGAAATGGTAAAGCAGCCCCAAAAAAAAAAAAAAAAAACTATCAGCCTTTATTCATTAGGAAACAATTAGCTCCGCTCTTACTGGTTTGTTTTCAAAAAAAACGTTTTCTGCGCGTTTTGATGATGGATTCCCGCCGTCCGCTTTCTCATACGGGTCTCTTGTTGTTACATTACTTAATTGTTGGTGTCCATGTAAGCAAAATTACTTTTTTTTAATTTCGCTGGTTGTTTTGCTGAGATATAAATCTTTTTGGAATCGACTTTGCGGCGTCGCCGGAAAGCTGAGAGGGTGTAGCGAAAAAGCAAGTCGCTGGCTAATTTAAAACTGTTTAAGACCCAGAGAAACTACGTGACACATCCGATAAAATGAGACACGAAGGACTTATTACACTGATTTATTAATGAAAACAGTGACAGTCAAGGTAAACTATTCCGGGCTGCAAAAAGTCTACTCTGTACAAAGAGTGAGCTCTGTTTTCCGAACTCTACTGATAATGATGCCCTCTCAAATGCTATTGGTGACTTTTTTAATGCGCAAGATCTCAAGAATCAGTGCTGATGTTGATGCTATAGTCCTTGACCAATCATCACGTGACCTGGGGAAAAAAAAAAAAATCCAGCAGATGAGAGCGGTGCATTGGCTTCCTTTCGTAACCTCATAAAAAAAAAAAAACAGACTCTAATTATGATATCACCTAAAAAGTACTGCCCGTTGAAAAAAAAAAAAAAAACATTACAGACTGCCTGATATATTACAACCAGTCATCACTCGCCTGAAAAAAAAAAAAATGGTTAATGAGTATTTTCCTAAGTTCTCTCACATTACCCCGGCTTAAAAAAAAAAAAATTGGCTACCAGTCAAAGAAAGAGTGCTATTCAAGCCCTTGATTTTAAAAAAAAAAAAATTATGGGCTGGCAGCATCCTATGTTTCTAATTTAGTTCAAGTAATAAAAAAAAAAAAATATTCATTACGTATAAATAATGACATCTCTACGTATGATGCACGAAAAAAAAAAAAAATAGCGCTATTTAAGCTATAGCGAAAATCAGACCTGAAAAAAATCAAAAAAAAAAAAAATTCGAACCACTGACCTCTGCGATACTAGTGCAGCGCTCTACCAATAAAAAAAAAAAAACAACTGGGAGCAGGCCATTAAGTTGGTTCGTATTAAACCCGTGACAAAAAAAAAAAAACATCTCTATCAAATCTTTTAGTGGTATTGCCAAGAAAATACTTGGAAAAAAAAAAAAACAGTAGCGGCACCAAAGCCTTTTAATGCCCTTCCTTGCGAAGTTAAAAAAAAAAAAAATTTTAATACTTTTAAGACTTTAGTTAAAACGTTTTTGTTTAAGTCAAAAAAAAAAAAATCTTACTTGTATATTATCTATTTTATCATACTGTAATTAATATATAAAAAAAAAAAAATATGTGTGG